CCGGGCCGCGGGGCCCGCCCCTGGGCCGCGGGTCACGGCGCCGCCCGCCGCCGTTGCCATGGCGACCGCGGGGGCAAGAGGCCTGGTGTGTGCGTAGCAGGGCAGCCCCCGGGGGGGGTTGGATCTGGAAAGCACCTAGAGAGACCTGCGCGCTGTTTGGAAGGTGCTGTGCTCTTCTTGCGAGGAAGGAGGCCTTCGTCTTCCGTGAGGAGCCAAGTCGGAAGCCTCTTCGTGCTGCTCAACAGGACAGGCCAACGCTTTTCTCAGCCCGAGGAGGTTCTTTTGGTACAGGGCATAAAAAACAGCAGCCTTGCGAATGGGCCCTGCCTGCCCCCGATCTTGCAGCAGTCCCTCGTCTTCGCTGCTTTGTGTGTAAGGCTGTAAAGCAAAGGATTACCCAGAGCTTGCCACGTCTGATGTAAAATTTTGGCCCTTCGATGCTTTTATCACAGGCGAGCAACAATTAGGACCGTGTTTCCAAATTCCTTGGCTCTGCTGATGGATACATAAATACTTAATTCAACTTGAACACTCGCTTACTGTGTTAAAGGCCCATCACTTTTTTGGGTGGTTGATCAGAATGGGTTAACTGAAGATTCAGATGTGGGTTAGGACTAAGAAATGCTGCCTGACATCTGAAAAGATGAAAAGCTGGCTGACATCTGTAGGATACTGCTTTTCCCAGTGGATTGAGCCATGCCCTAGAGATACTCAGCAGTCTGTAAAGAGCCTCATTTTACTAAAGCTTTACAAAGTTATACCTTACTATAATTACTGACAGGGGCAGTGAAGGTCACTTGTTAACAGAATTGCCGAACATTGCCCATGATCAAGTTAAGTTTTTCTTTTTTGTATCTCATTCCAACTTCATAATTTCCATGGTGCAATTTTCCATGCTGGACATCTGTCTTGAGGTAACGAGGTGTGTAAACCGCATGTTGGCCAAAAAATGATACTATGTCAGCTCCACCCTCTCACATTTTTCCACTTCAATGTTTTCAGAGATGACTGAATACAGGTGACCTGGACTTCTGTTTTTTGTTTTTTTTTCTGATGAGGCAAGGAACCAGACAGGTAGAGAAGGAACAATGGAATAGTTACATGAGTTCTTGACAGAGTACAACAAAATCCCAGGACGTAGCCTAACAGATGGAGCTGTGGAAGATCAAAAAGGTACAGTCCTGCTATTAACTTTAACCACATTCAGTTGCACTAAATGTAATAAGTTGACACCTTCTTTGTTCACCATGAGCTGCCTGGCCCCACTGCTTCTGATCTGTTGGTATTGGCAGCTGAAAGACTTTGTGGTGAACCATCTCAGGAGACTGCTGTGGCTGAAAAACTAACCTGCCAGAAAATCTGAAAAGTTTTCAGATCACTGCATAGCTGCCTGAAGACTAGCACTTGGTCATGGCAGATGACAGGTATATGTGGCTGAGCTATAAAGTTCAAGGTTCAGATTCATGGAGCTTGCTTAGATGAGATTAATGTGTGTGAAATATTGGCTTACTTTTAACTAGCATACCTGGAAAATCTCTGTGAATTACAGATGTGAACAGTGAACAGCCTTACAAGTGCTGAAAGATGTGTTCATTATTACTATCTCGAATGTTCTTTCATAGTCTTCATATTTGTGTGGACCTGCAGCTACAGTGAAACTTAGCCAGAGCCCCTGGCACGCTGGTGTAATACACTGAAATGGCAAAGTGGTGAGGTTGTGTCTGAATTGGTCCTTTTATTGTTTGTTTTTCTTAAATGCAGATCTGCCATTTCCAAAGAAAAAGATGCCCAAACATGAAAGGCTCCGAGAAAATGTTTGATCCCAGGCAGTAAACTCTGGCAACCTTGTCTCACGGCAACAGTTTAGAAAAGGTATTCAAAGCTTATCTGGCAGGTCTGTCTGTGTCAAGGATGTATCTTGTCATGCTGGTGGAAGTAAGCTGGAGGCAAACTGTAAGCAATAAAAAAGATTCCTGTTTCCTAGGTACAGATTTCAAATAACTTGATTGGCAGGCTTTCTCAACAGAGCTGAGAGCTGCAGCATGATTTTGGGGTTGGGTTTTGGGTTTGTTTTTTTGCGGGTTTTTGGGGGGGGGGTTGATTGGCGTTTTGGATGTTGGGGTTTTTTTTGTGGGTTTTG